GGTGATCTGCAAAATTTAGCCAATCAGATTTTTTAGCTTCAACATCAGCCAAACTTCAGCATCAGCCGTAACAATGAATATGATGGTGGAATTCCTTAAAAAGGAAAAAGATGTATCATGTTATGAATTTAAACTTCTAAATTGTGATGGCGACTTAGCATTCGACCTCACAAAAGATATTCAAGCCGGGTCCGTCCCTAAAGGAAACCACGCATTCTTTACTGAACAATTTAATGGCATTAAGTGTCCTAACGATCTTAAAGGTTTCACCCTTGTTATTGAGAGTGATGGCAAAGAAGTCGGACGATCAACAATCTCGTAAAAATAATGCACATTATAGAAATGATATTTATAATTAATATGTTCTTTTATTTAACAAACTTTTTGGATTTAATAAGGAATACAGAGATATAATATTGTTAATTAATATTTTGAATAGAATTGTATTTTGTTATGAATTTTGATATACTAGATCAAGATATTGTACCTATTGTTAGATGCTATATTATGAAAGGTTTAATAAAAAATTAATCTTTGAATCTGTTTCAATAAATTTATTAAATGAATTTTTTTATTTTTCATTTTGTTTGACTATATACAAAATTTTTTTAATTAGTTTTCGTAATAAAACTGAAATTTAACTTTCTAAATATACTTCATAATTCTGATAAAGTCTAGACAGGAGATATACCTCTACATATCTATACGTATAAGAATTGCAATTATGAATACTACTTACATAGATATTTTAAAGCCGGAATTGTTTAATTTAAAATTATAACTTAGTACTATTTATCGCTTTCTAGTAGAACTTAGTTTGCAAATAACCACTTGTGCATTTTTGCTACAGCAGCGTTGACCCATTTTTTGCACTGATGATTCAAATTTGGTACGTACTTTTTCGTTCAAATTAATTTATTCTAAACATAAAATAAGATATTATATTCAATACACAATATTAATACGTACTGTTGTTTATACGTAGCAATAATACACAAGATCAAATCTTTCAAATGTACAGCATTATTAATTCTAGTGTTAGTTCAAAACGTTAATACTATTGAAAAAAAATCTAAAAAATCTCATAATGTGCTTGAGAAATCAATTCTAAATGCATCTCAATAAAGGCACCAATGTTTAAGACTTTATTAATGACCAAAATTCATTCACTTTAAGAAAACTTTATAAAGATTCTTCCGAAGTTCTAGTTCATAAACTCAATTTTTAAAATTGTTGCTTCGTTTTCAATCAAAAAGAGTAACAGGGCAACCCAAACTATAGTATTTTATTTATTCAGAAACGATTTTAAATAATTGTCAAAATAAAGAAACAATATACAGACATCTCTCTAAATGTATTACTTCCATAAATGTACATTTAAACTCGGCCCAAATATATCTTTAACCTTCCTAAATGAATTTTTCTTATTATTCTCTAAATGCAAATGGCCCAGTATCTAATTCATTTAGGGAGATTTTCTGTATATAAAATAACCAAAACTATAAATCACTTTCATTCCGCCCCTAACAATTTCTAGAATCATTCCTCCTACATTTCTATACTTCGTACATACTTTGTGTAATAATGATATATTCAGAATGCATGATTATTGATGGTCCCTTTAAAATATTTATTGCATTTGCATCAATGCATTTTGTGCGTTAAAATTAAACATGAGAACCTGATCCCTAATTACAATTTAGGTTAGAAGCATAAACCTTAAAATACAAATTCTAATCATCTCTATTTAAAATTAGTTAAATCGACATAATAACCAATGCATCTAGTATTTGTTTACAGTGTACTTAAATTTCAATTAATTTAATTCGTACACGAGAAATGCTGTGTGAGGAGGAGAACGTAATTTAAAAAAATAATTTAAGAGATTCATTTTATTGAACATATGCATATAAGTAATATGCAAGCTTAAATTAATACCTGGGTACAAAGGAGTTTTTAACGGCAAATTGAATATTAATGAAATTACTTGGTTTTTTTTCGCCTGATGATGTCCTTATGTTACACTAAACTAATATGCACAAAGAATTCCTCTAGTGAAAATTTTTATCTCACGAAAGAACCAGTTAGCATCTAATACAAGTCACGCAAGGTACATCTCTAGTTAGAATCTAAGCTAAGGTCATTAGAAAATGTTTTGCAAGGAATTTTTTTGATAGAGTCGAAAAGGCTGTCTCTTAGGTGAAATGTTGAAATAAATGATAACATGGCACGTATTGCAATTTGATTAATAATAAATCAGTTTTACAATGTTTGATTCGGTTATAAATTTCAAATAACCAGTGATATCTTTAGTGAGGAGTGTTCCATCGTGTAAATAATTTTCAATGAGTGTATCGAGTAAATTAACGAACGTAAATAACTTTCAATTAACGAACTGTGATATGCTTGGTTATTAGTCAAGTTACACTTTAGTGGCCAATTTTGGATTCTGAGTCATAGAATTCTTTTGTTTAAAGAAGGGATTAAAAAGGACACGCGCGTGAGTCATTGAAAACATATTGATTGATCTTTTGATTTCTTCCTCAACGACATTGTCCTATGCATGAGGACTACCAAATATTAATACCTGATTACTAATAATCATATCGAAAAATTTTAAATGAAGGTTTCATCTTCGATTTCTCGTTGACCATGAATATGCCCTGTTAAAATTCCCCGTTTAATTCAAATCATAACCGGTTTTATATATACTAATACTAGCGTATAACAACAGGAGGAACCGTCGATGTTACACAACTGATCCTTTACCCGATGTGCAACATATAAAAAAATCATTTTACAATACCAAATCATTCCGCTAGTACATGTTATGATTATAATCCCACACCATTTTTATTATAATAAAATGGTGT